ACTATCCTCTGAGTAAAGAAATTCTTCCCAACATCTCATGTAAACCTACTCTCTCTCAGTTTGAAGCCATTCTCCCTTGTCCTGTCACTACTTGCTCTTGTAACAAGTCCCTCCCCATCTTTCTTGTAGGCTTCCTGCAGGTACTGGAAGGCAGCAATTGGGTGACCCCAGAGCCTTCTCTTCACCAGGGTGAACAATTCTCTGAGTGTTTCCTCACAAGAGAAGTGCTCCATCCCTCTGATCACCTTCATAGCTCTTCTCTGGACTCATTAATTAAGAGTTAATGAAATACTCATAACTATTGCTTTTTAGTACAGATTTAATTATGAGTGCATAAAGCAATATTTGATTTTTTTCATTTACTGATATTACTACTGCTCTAATTATTACTTGATTTTCTGTGTGGCTGCAAAGAAGCTTGGTTTTTATTGAAATAAAGGTGCTGTAAGAATGTGTTAGTAGGGCAAATTTTCTTGCTTTTTACAAGAAAATGCATTAATAATCCTTAAGAATGAAGTCTCTGTAAATCTATTGTTTATATATTAAATATAATATAAGCTTTTGTAAGTAGCTAAGGTATATAAATTCCTATTGTATTATTATAAAAGGGCTTTTTTTTTTTTTTTAATAAAGGTCTTTTTGTCCACCTTTCTGTGGTTCCTTGCTTTGAAAACACCTGTGCCACCTTGAAATGTGATAAAATTAAACCTACTTGTAGTCTGTTGGACATTAATTCTGAATTGCATAAATAAATCCAAAAAGAGCTCGTTCAGATGATTGTGGGGTTATAAGTGTACTGGGATAGAAGTGTCTGAACCAGCTGCCTGGTCACTGATGAAATTCGGATGCATATTTGAAATTAGTAATCTGTAATTAAAAGATAAGCAGACACACAAAAATTACTTACTGTAATTTGTCCAACTATGATGAACTGACTAATTCAGAGTTTGAAAGAGTCTTCTGAGTTTATTTCTTTTTGGTAAGTATTCAATATAATTATCTTTAAAATCTGATGGCTTGTTTGGTTTTAATTCTGTTTTCTAAATGTTTCTTCCTGATGCCAGATTGCATTGCCCAAAAAGAAGGTTACTTTTACAGCTTGTTAGGTAGCAGGTGGCTCTGTAGTCAGAAGATAAAACAAAGACTTTAACTAGAAATTATGGAGGCAGTCCATGCTTCAAACATACCATCACACTTTCAGGAAACAATAGTTTATGACAATAGATATTGACACCCTCTGTACTAAGAAATAGAAGCTTGTTTAAAAAAAATAATTAACAAAACACTGAACATGCATTAGATGTACAACCAAAATTAGTACTAAACATCAAGCACTACTGCTCAGCACAAGAGCAGGAAGAACCTAAGCACTAAACCTGACTGGCATCTGCACCCCGATGTGATGTGTATGAGCTGTCAGTCCCCTCTCATGGACAGAGGCGAGGGCTGCGTGTCAGCAGCACTGTGTCCTCTGCTCAGTGCCACACATCACATGTCAGTGCTGTTTGACAGCTCTTTGCACAGCCTTAGGGGCTGCCCTCTATGCCAAATCATGACTGAGTGACAGGAAACAAGCGAGTCAGACTTCTCAGAATATTATCCTTAAGCAATACTGCTTACCTACAAGACCTAAGTAAAAACAGATACAGAGGCAAAAGTGTGACAGAGAAGTCAGCTCTGCACAGACGAAGCTGAGAAGTGGAGACATAGACAGGAGCATATGCCTGGCCAAGGGCAGAGGGATTCCTGAGGCAGGATCCCTTAATCCACTCATAAATTCCCAGTAAAGATAAAAATAGGACAGGAGAGCTGGTCTGGTAGAAGAGGCCAGTGTTTAGGAACTGGGAGGATTGCCCAAGGGGACACCTCACAGGCACCTAGAGAATAATGTCAAGGAATACTGGGTTAAAAGAGACAAGACTAAATTTCTGTCACTGAGTGAAAATGAAATTACAAATGCTCTGTTAGTATGTAGTAAACTCTGCCACAAGCTGCTGAAAATTTGTTCTTCTCAATCTGGTAAAAAAATGTGTTTCCAGCTTAATTTTTTCAGGCTTTGTTGGTGTTTGTAATGGCAAATCTGTAACATCCATGGAGCTACTCTCCTGTTTTGATCTCAGTTCTGAGAGCCAGCCCAGCAGTGCTTTTAGCAGCGAATGACACCTGTGGTCACCTCCTTTTCCTGGACCTTTCTTCTGCCCATCTCCAGCAGCAGAACCAGTTATTCTTCCACCATGTGGAAGAGGTGCTAACAAAATGCAGAACTGTGGAATGCTTTGCAGGACTCCTTCCACTCTCCCTGACCCAAAGTACCCCTCCTCACAGGGAGAGGTGGGAGGGCAGGCACTCTCCCAAGACTCTGGTACTTCAAAGCTAGCAAAGCTTCCCTCCCATTCCCTACATGGGTAGGGAATAAAGCCTCAGGGTGGACAGAAACCGAGTGAAGGCTGCTGCTTGCTAACTGTTGCTGGGGAGAGGCCCTGGGGGCTGAGATGGGGCGGGGTAAGTGTGTGGGTAAGTGGGTGGGTTAATGGGTGGGGGATCCACAGGGGCTGGGCAGGGGCAGTCGAGCCTAGCAGTGATACTCTTCCACATAATCCATCACCCATAAACAAAAAATTGTGATGATGTGAATGAAGTAATTGCAGGAGATCACACACAGGAAGCCCAGCATCTGAACTCTGATCTAACCCAACTCAACTGTTGGGCTGTGGTTTCCAGACTTTATCACACAGTCTTTTCCATCAGTGACAGAGACAGGCTCTGCTCACGTGAGTGAGGGTGTGAAAGTCTTGCCTTTGCCAAGTTAAACACCAGTTGGTGGCCACAGAGCTTCGTGGTGTGACGTCTCCCATCATGTACCTCAAACAGTTAAAAGGGACTAATTTGTGTTGCAATATCCTCTGAGACCCCCAGGTGTAAAGTGAGAACAATGGTACATTATTCTTCCCACTTTTATATACCTTTTGCTTTTTTCCCCTCAGTTTTTTCCAGTTCTCTCTGTATTCCTGTGCTGAGCCAAATCCCACTAACCTCATTTAAGGTCTTCCTTCCCACAACCTTAAACAAGAGCTGGGTCTAAGCCCCCAGACACCACAGTGGCAGGTTTTATTGTGCTATGGCCAATGACCAACCCAGTTTTGTAGTGTCCAACTGCTTCTTTCCTGCACATATATCCTTTTTGAGCTCGTTCTGCTCTGCTCAGGATTGTGACACAGCTCCTGGTGAATAATCAAGGCCAGTAGGTTGTTGTGCTGTAGTTATTTACTCATGCCTCTGCAACATACTGAAGTTTACAGTATTTGGTACGTGTTAGTGCAGTAAGCACAGAAGCACAGAAACCCTGCAGGTGGTCACTTCAAAAAAAGGTCTGGAAAATATTTGGCAGGTAATGGAGTACAGCAAGCTAACCACAGATTTCTTCAGAAACACACCAGGTCCTTCTGCTACCAGAAGTCTATTGAAATCTAGAGCCAGAGTCCTGCTTGTTTTGACAGATGTTAGATAGGAGCTGTGCTAAAGAACTATAATTACATCTCTTACAATCAGGATTTATACTTTTTAGGTAAACTATTAACTTAAAGCACGAGATCATGAGCCAAGCTGGAAGACTATTTAGTTGATTTGATCAACTAAACAAAACATAACCCAAAAAACCAAACAAAACCAGACCAAACATCCCACCTCCAAAAAAAACCCCACATGCACAGCTACAAAAAAAACAAAGCACCAAAACAAACAAACAAAAAACCCAAGGGAAAAAAGGATAGACATTATTTTTATCTCTATATTTGTATTTTTATTATGAAGATTATTGGAAAAACTGTTTCTCTCTATTTAATATTTTAACTCTTTGAAATTGAATTTAGAAAAATAAAGAAATAAATAAATATTCAATAATGGTAAAATGAAGTATTTGGGGTTTAATAAAATTACAGATAAATATTTTAACATTTTAAGATTTTCCTTTTTTTTTTTTTCAATTTTTTCTCATTCAGCAGACATCTCATTCACACTCAGTCTGAAACTGAACTTTTGTGTACATACACATTAACAAATATTGCTTTATCCCAGGTGCAATGAATACTTTCCCATCCCAGTAAAAAGTAGAGTGGAATCCAATACAAATTATGTTTTCTAAGTGGCAGTCTCCTGCTAAAGATTAGTAAAGGTGTTATCTGTATAAATGTGGATATTTTGAACGGTTCTCATAAAGCTGTGGTGGTGTCAGCAAAGCTGTAAAGCTGGGAGGAACATTTCAAAGGAGGTGTGTCAAAGCAGCAGGACCCAGCTCTATTGCACAGCACAGTATTCGTTAAAATGCTCTTGACTCTTTCATGGATCTGTCATGGGAAATGGTTCTTTTTATCCTGTCAATAAATTCTTCAGTCAGCTGTGTAGAAACTCCAGGTATGCTTGAATTTTCATGTTCTTCTCCAAAAGAAACAAACCCCTGGTGCTGACCAGCACAGATTATGGCCCACCTGAATCTCCCTGGAAGACAAATAAGAAGTAGCTGTCAGTGTGTCCATTTCTCTCCAGAGGAGCATGCAGTGCCACCTGCAGTGCACAAGTATTGGAAATGCTGCCTCTAACCTTTTCCAGCCTACGAAATCGAGCTTACATCACCTCATGAGAGCTGGTTGAGGAATAGAGGGGTTGCTTTTCAAACCTGAGGGAGCCTTTGGTGCAAATGCTGTGGACCAGGAGAGTGCTATCATAATTCTCTTTCAAAATGTATTTTTTATTGCTGGTATAAATTGATTCTCTCTTCTTTATCAATTGTCTCTTCTGGATTCAGCACAGAGAGCATCAAAAGCAAAATCCAAACAGGCCTTTTGGGTATGCAGTTAATACTGTACTGCTCAGATGTTGACTCCTGGAAAGAATCAGGTAATTGAGACCCTGATCACTCTGCTTTTTCTCCCATAACTTCAGGTGGTGTCTAAGGAGCTAAAGAAATATACCTGAAGTAAGAGATAATCCCAGGCTCAAATTCCCATACTCTCAATCCTGATTGGTACACTGACCTAAACTGACAAGTTTTAACATGCCTTTTTCACTGCAACAGTCTCTCATACATGTGATTAAAATCACTTACAACATGATCAGCCTCTTAAGATGTCTAACACCACTTTGTTTCCAGTGAAAACTGAGCCATCGTTAAATATATGCCCGCCACTTCATAACTTTACTTCTTACCTCACAAGCATCGCTTGGGTATAATTTACTATTCCCTGTAGCACACAACACGCTGTTGGTTATTTTAGGGTCATTGGCACAATGTTTGTCACAGCTTTTTCTACTGACAATTTTAAGGGTTGCCTTCTGGAGATATTTTGTTGGCTTTTCTGGTGGTGTGTGTCCCCAGCCTGCCACCTGGTAGAGTGTGCCAGGTTCAACATCTACAAAAGAGTCAGGCACAGGCAAAATTTGCATATATTTATTTAGCTTGGCAGTATCATTCAGCTAAAAAGGAAATAAGAAAGAAGGAGAAACAAGGGAAAGCCAGATTTCTTTTGCAGAGAGGAAGGGAAGTATCATCTAGTTTCAATTCTCATTTAGTCTCATTTTGCCAATACTTCCCTTAAAAATCACTTTTTACTATTTACGAACTGATTCTGAGCTTAATTGCCCCTTTGAAAATTCAGAAGGCTTTCCATAGTAGCAGTGCAGCAATTTCTCATCTATGGCAGCTTTCCATTGGATGTGGTGAGAAATGTAAAACCTACATGGGAGTTAGGTTGTTGGATCTATGTCTTGTTCACAAACCTAACTTGTCACTAAACGCCAGTGTTGAAATCAGATTCTGGTGCTTGACTGACAGAAAAGTCTCAAAGCACAGTGCAATGTGCCCATGAACAAAGATGAAAACAAAAGCTATAAGCAATTAGACACAAAAGCCGCAATATAATTGAGGAAAAATCAGGTCTCAGTCTATTCCGACTGTCAATTTTTGCTCTGAGAAAGTCTAAAAGGTTTAAATTATTCAAACTGTCTGTGTTTTGTTGACCTTTGCCTGGCAGATCCATCCTTCAGCAGAGGTCAGTTTAAGCCTGTAAATGAAAGCACAGCCAAACCCTGAGATATATCCTCACTGTGCTTGGTAAGGGCTCACAGCTACAGAGTAGACGTTCTCAGTCTTATGATCACTGCACCATGATTAATTTCACAGGGTGGTTCTCAACTAAACGATTCTGGCTTTATACCTTTCCAAAAATGCACTCCAACAAATCAAGAATTGATTTTTTTAAAAAAAAAATCTTTGCAGTTATTATTGGCAGTGCTGCTGGAAAGTTACAAAGATGGAAAGCTTATTCCAAGCCATTTAATACTCCATTACTGCAGAAGAGATGGGAAGTAAGATCTAGTACTGTCCCTGGTTCTGTGTCAGATTCAAAGGATTTTGTGGTATCCATTTGATTCTGGAACAGAGTTGTGATTTTCAGCTCTAGAGATATTGCTTCCTAGTGATCCATTTCAGTCTTGTGTTCACAGATACCCTGTTGCTCCTGACAAGTGGCCACAGGAGAAGCCAGTGAGATGAGCCTGTTCTACACTGACAATGAAGCAGATGCAGAATGCTCACTAATATCTGGGGGAAGGAGTTCCTCAGAGATGGGCAGTGACCAGGTGCTTGAGCCACAGATGCCTGTAAATGTTCCAGCAAACACAAAAAGGGACATGCTTATCTTCCTCTCTGTGTCATTGCCATGTCAAACTAATGATGCCATCTAAATACTAAAAAACAGGTGCCAGTCATAGAATAATAGAACCACAGAATGTTATGGTTGGAAGAGGCCTGAAAAATTATCTAGTCCCAATCCCCCTGCCACGGGCAGAGGCACCTCCCTGTAAATTCAGATTCTTGCATCCCTGCCCCACTTTGGCATCAGATGATAATGCTGGCAAGGACATTTTCCATGCTTCATTCTGCAGTGTCCTGAGCCTTCTCCAGCCTGTGACCACTCCGTGCTCCTAGAGCTGAGTCTGTATATCCTGTATCATCCACACTTTCACTTTACCCAGTTACCCCAGAAAATTAACAGAAAGTTTCATCTCCATTTTAATTTAGTCCAGCACAAGATATAAATCTGGGACAGAGATGAGAGCCAGACTCCATTGCCTACATCCCTTCAGCATTGCCTTTGCAAAATTAGTGAGGAATGTGATTTGTGGTTTGGAGGGGTTGCTGCAGTGAATGGATTAAATAGGGAGTTTTAGAGCACAGAATGAGCTTGAAGTATCAGCCCTGCTCACAGAGTCAGTGATCCTTTAACTTCATCTAGATTAATATGACCAGAAGTAGACTTTTCTATGATACTGTTAAGATATTTAAATAATACTTCTTCAATATCCAAGTGTAGCCAAAATTATCATTAGCAAAATTTATTTCATAAAAATATAGCAGTAATTAAAACAATACCTTGATGAGCATTTTGTCATTATAAAGGGAGGACAATCACATTGACAATGAGGAAAGGTTTCCATAATCCCAAATATCTGCTGTCTTTTTTCAACAATGGATGCCCAATAAGTTCCAGGAACAACTCTGTCTTCCAATCCATCTATTCTGTAATTTATAGAAAATATAGGAAGAGAAAGTCACCACAGGAACTGAGCAACATCTCTGATAATCAGGACCTGTAATACAATACCATTTCATTTTATAACGATGTGATTAAAACACTACAGGAATTCATTAATTTCAATGTTTTAACACAAACTTCTTTTTTCCTCTATAAAGTAATGTTTCTTTACTGTGAATACAGTTTAATGAAATAATTGTATGATAACCAACCTCCAGAAATGTTCAGAGTTTGGAATTAATTTCATGAAAGAGCCTCCCATCTTTATAAGGGGAGTTGCTTGCACAAGGGCTGCTGCTACTGATGCTTTCCTTAATCTCTGAAAGGTTGCCTTTGGATTTATGACCTAATCCTGCAAAGCACTGAAACTTTGCTGATGTCAGTAGCACACCAGAACACACTTCAGTGCTCAGCACTTATTCTGAGAATTATCCATACAGGGAGATGCTCTGCTAAAGTATATTTAATATTAATCTGTTTTTTGTATTTAATTTTCTAAACACAGGATTCAGCACATTAAGGAAGAAGAATGTGTGTTGCCTAACCCAAGACATTCAGTAGTGAATGCTATAAAAAAAGGAGAATGCTAAAATTCAAAGAGTTATATGTTTACTTCCTGCTAATAAACATTAGAGTTAAGCAACTAGTAAATTCCACTCTGTTCCAACCTCTATAAGTATCATCAGAAATGTATTTATTAACGTTTGCCTTTCCTCATTTTGCCCTGCTAAACTTAATGCAGCCCAATAATTTGATGTTGCAGAACACATACTGCCAGTTTCCTGTGCTTCATTTTCAGAACATAATCTCACTACAAATAGGAAAATCTATTCAAAACAGAACAAATAATTTATCAATACTAACTATAAAAGAACTATTTTCTTCATTCAAGATGCATATCTCACTGGAAGATACAATTAATTTATTTAAATGTGAAAATTTGTCTGTGAAAATAGCTGCAAAGGCAGTGGGAAGTCCAAAAATTTCTCATTTTATTTCCAAAGTCCATTTCTTCCTCAGAGAGAATGACATGTCTCTCTGTGACATCTCTGTCACTCTAACAGGTGGTTCACAGGCCACACAGAAATCCATGTTGCTGGATTCATGCTGTTTTGCCTAAGAAAAAATTTGTTTCAGACATGATTATCACATGAGATCCATTAGTTAGGAAGTTTTACCTGCACTGCAATTGCACCAGGCATAGAACAGGTGTTGGTGGGTTTTGTGTGAGCACTGTCTTACAGCTTAGGAGAAGGAAACCAGACTGCTTCAGCTTTGTCAGTGACAAAGACTTGAAGTCAGCCCAAAACAATGTGCTGTTAGAAACCCAAATCAGTGACCAGAGCACATTCTCCACGGGATCAGAGACAGTGCCTTTTCCACTGAACAGCTTACAAATCTGAATTTTTGTAAGTGTACCTGTCACTGCATATCTCTGACATATCGACTGAAGAATTAAAGACTCCAGATCCTATTAAAAAGTCCCTTCCAAAAAGGAAGGTTTGGTTTTGTTTTGTAAATTGGAAAAACAGAGAATGTTAGGAATGAATATTTCTGTCTTTACAACCAAAACTGATTCAGCTGAAAAATACTTAAAGTCAAATTAACTTAGAAGGAGCTGTGTCCTCTATTTCAGACTAACTCATAGAAGTCTGGCCAACCTGCCCACACTGTGTTTAGGAAGGTCTGGTTTGCACATTTTTATTATAACTGGTTTCCTCTCAGATAGTCAAAATTAAAAGGAAAAATTGCAGAACAAAAATACAATTCAGAGAACATTTTAAGAAAAGCAGGGCATTTTACTTCCTAATGTGAACAGTAGATGTCCCCCTTACCTTGAGCCAGCTGTTCAACAGCAGCGCTGACCTCGGGGCACTCCACCTGGGGAAGAGGCATTTCTGCTCACACATTAAACTTGTCAAAAGGACAAGGTTCCCTCTCACATGAGTGACATTCTGGGTTTGTGAGCCCAGGTCAATCAAAATGAGAGGAATAATGTCCCCATCTACTTCATCTCTCAGGGTATTTGGAGGCTTAGTTCTGGACACGCAGGTAAGATTTGTTTAAAAAACCTTGGGACATATTCCCTTCTCTAAGACGTTGGTGTTTCACATGCATAAAGAATTAATTTGGTCTTTTAACAGCACAGTATTTATGCTGTAACTTTGGAAGGATCTGACTAACATAGGTAGCTCTGCAATGCAAATCAGTAATTTGCAACAACTAAAAACCTAATGACAAGTTCTAGGATAATTTTAGTGAGAGAGCTGCTTTTTGCAATTTATTGAAAAATCAATACTCATCTTTCTTATAGGCTTGCATGCCATGCCTCACATCAATGAAGAATTAAAGTTGCCCCATTTTAAGATACTTACTCACAATGTGCTGCTCTCAAAACCAATTTTTTCACAATAGTTCCTCCACAAAATAACACCTAAATTCTTGTGCTGGATGGCAGCCATATAAGCTCAGGAGTGAGGATGCACTTCATGTCCTCCAACAATGTCCATGCAGCCACCTGAAGTGCAACAGAAGTGCAATTATATTATGCATTATCCAGAGGAATTGGGAATTTGAATATTTTTACTCTTAGGTGAGTACGCGAATCTTGTCAGTAGAGTAACAGCAACTAAAGAGAGCAAGACAGCAGAAGAGTTTCCAGGTGATATAGCTGCTGCTATTAGCTGATAGAAGTGGTAAATTGCCATTCACTCTTTTGTATTTAAATGTCCCCTACAGGAAATGGGTTTAAAAGTTTTTATTAATAGCTCCCTCTCTTGAAATTTCCCTTTACATCATTAATATTGTATTATTTTACTGCAGATTGATTTCTCTAGATTCTCTCTTCCAATTTCTTTAAGACCTGACTTGAATCTTCTAATAACCTGAAAAGTCTTCAGAGAATACCAGTATGAAGGAATAATCAGCACATGTAGAGTTCAAAAGTTGCTCCTGAGTAAAATCAGAGTGCATAGAGTACAAAAGTCACTCCCGTGGACCAAGATACATCAGGTACATCAGCAGCCAGCAATTTCTCCACAGAATTCCACTGCCCAGGTAACATCTTTGGTTGAAACACTGAAAAATATTCATATGTAAATTAGCAAGAGCCACTGAGAACTGTCAAACATCTCTTATTTTATAAGCTAAGGAATATGAGGGAAATATATAATAAGGGGTCTGAAAGACAAGCCAAGGCCAGCCACACACATGTAAGCAATTTGTATTTTGTTAAAAATAATCTGGGGGGGGGTGCAGCTTTCAGATACAGAAAACCCTAGACCCTGAAAGTGTCAAAAGCAAAAAAAAAATCTAACCTGTGGTCACACAAAAAGGATAAATTGGTGAGAGAGACATTTCCGTATTTTAGACCTCTGTGTCTGCATGCATGTTTTGCATGCCTTGCTAGTAAACCACTACAAAAAACCCAGTCTGCCTTTGTGTGAAGAAGTTACAAAACTTGCTACCATTTTCAGTATCTTTAGAAAGAACCTGAAATATCCCAATATTATTAGCTCTCATTTTTATCCAAGAAATACAGAATGGCAGCTCTTAATCTCAATCTCATTGTTGAACGAGATTGTTACACTGAAATGTTTATTTTTATGCCACAGAATCTTATTAGTTAGAACCCAATTTGAAAACATTCACACAGTGCAGCACAATGTAACAGGATTCATGTTTCAGAAGACTCTTCCAAAACTCTTTTAAAAGAAAGCAAATTACTATTAGAATTTTTCGGCTCTTAAAAGAGCCAGCTCCTGTTCCTCCAAAGTCATTCTCCATTCTCCATCTAATCCCAGAATTCTTCACCCACTGGAGATTACCCACAGGTAGTCTCTGCAAAGAGAGTCCTAAAGGCATAATTATGTTTGTTCTTTATGGTTTTGCCCTCCCAATAATTAGCTGTACTGGAAAGCAGCAAAAGAGACAAAATAGGAAACAGATTCATGTTCTGGCCAAACAGGAGAAGGTTTGTGTTTCCAGAGCATAATATCTAATGCTGGATTCTTCTTGCCAAGTACTATCAACATCATAGGAGGAATGAGGATTTGCTGCAAGGTTTTGAGGACTCCCTGAGTTTACTACATCTACTTGTATTTCTGTGCTACTACATTTTCTGTTGATATCACATAACAAATAAACAGGAGCAGGGACACTAAGTGAATAGCTGAGGCAGAAAAGACAACCAGGTAAGTATCATGAGGCATTGGTATCAGAGGAGAAAATAAAACAGGTATGCCCCAGCATATGTTCTGACCTTTCCCCAGCAAGTCCCTGGGAATCTGTCTCCCAACCACTAAGGGATGTGTCCAGACACATTGGGATTGGAGATGGGGCAGCCCAAGGAGAAGACAGAGGAGAGTGTGGCAGCTCTGCCTTCTGTGCTCCTGGCAGCTGCCAGCTCTGCACCACGGCCCTGCCCTCCCTTCCCAGCCTAAGAAAACAGCCCTTCAGCTGAGCTGCAACTGCCTGAACTCAGCAGCAGCAAGCCTGGAAAGTTTAGGGGCACAGTTTAAATTGTTTAAATTGGTCTCCTGAACCAATGTCCCAAAATCACATCTGATGCTCACCTCAAGCACCAAAGAAAGCAGCAGGAAGGAAAACAGAACACAGTCACTACAGAAGGAAAATGGTCAAAATGACAGAGTAAAAGAAAAGGGATAGAAGACCTCAGCACAGTAATGGACAGAGCTGGAAGCGATCCACTGACCCATGAGCCTAAAGCCCATAGGAAACTTCCCCAAAGGCTGGAAATAGCACTGCATATAGTCCTGGTTCTTTTACTCAGGCAGTGGCTTCTGCCAAGTGAGTGGCTCTGCTTTGTGACCACCATAAGGAGAAAGGATGGAGTGTTTTGCTTACAATACCTCACTCCTCTCTAAGACCAATTGAGTATGCAACAGAGGACCTAATAAAATAATTTGACTTGAGAAGGAAGCTTTGTTTTGGGGTTTCCCTTTACTTGCAAAAGGCCAATAGAATCTAAACTTCAGTTTAAATTAACTTATTACCATAACCAAAGGAGCCCAGCCAAACAATTGTACACCCTAAAATTCAAACTTTTAGCATGGACAATGTAAATTACAAGATGAAGAAATTCTCTGACAAAGCATTTGGGTTTGTCAAAACTGGTGCTGGTTACATGCATATTAATCTGATCTTTAATACCCAAAACATTAGTATGATTTTACAGATAGTCAGAGAGGTCATTTAGGAGCTTGCACAGAAAGTCATCAATTGATACTGAATAGTTTAGACTGCATATTTCTAATTCTAATTAGTGAGAGTGGATCTCTTGGAATTGGAGGGGATTTTTTAAGAAGCTAGTACCTATGGATTTTTAGAAAACAACATCTTTAGAAGTATGATTTAGAAGTAAATAGAAGCACAACTAGAAATTTTAAAAAGTCAAAATAGGCTAGAGAAGATTTGGTTTTAGATACAAGGCATAGACTTACTTATTTACTTATAGATTTATCTATTTACCTGGAAAACATCTAGGAACATTTAATGATGTTTTATTCCATGTCTTTCAAATAGGTTTTCCTTGAAAACAGATCAGGCAAACATAGGATGATACATACCAAACCTCTTTTTAGTTGCCATTGCACCTCACATAGGACCATTCAAGGATCAATCATTGTAGTGCTACAAGTTTAAGCATGTCTAAGCATACAGGATTTTTGCTCACAAGATTTTTGCTCCTGACCATGTCTCTGCATAGTCCAGTCAGGAAACATCTTCAATATGGTAAGAGTGCTAATTAAAGTACCATAAAATCAGACTTTGTCAAATATTTGTAATTGATAAAAGAAAGAATTGTACCTATGATACCTGGTGGTATTGTGCTCAGGAGAACACTGTAAAAAAGAACACCAGTGCTACAAAGTGATGATAATTATGGGGGTTGTGCTAGTAATGAGGAGAAAAATTAAAGAAAGTTTAATCTTGGTAAGCTTTAGCAGTGCATGGAGTTGTCACAGTGTTACATAGGTGGCTGTGTCTTAGCAAAGACACATCAGTGACAAAGTGCTCCACAGTCTCTAAAATTAGATCTACACCTCCCTCCTTCAGAAAAATTGCCAAATTATCCTATGTCCCAAAAGGAGAGCAACAGCAAATTTAGCAAGGTCTTCTACAGGTGAAACTCACATGGTGCTGGGCCAACTGAGCCCAAGATATGATACAGCTAGAACCCAGATGATTTCTGCAAGCTCCTCATTGCAGGGCTCCTTTCTGCAGGTTGCCTGTTGTGAGGCTCAGGACTTCAAGAAACTTTCCAGCCTGTGTGACAGTGACAATTCACTAGTTAGGTTATAGGATAATTGATACTCCAAATTATTTAACATTGATGCAAGTTATTTTTATTATTTGGGTGTATCTTTGCAAAGGAGAAACTGTGCGTTTACAAGGCTCCAGATATTATTTATTCACAGAATCGTAGAATATCTGAGTTGGACAAAACTCACACAAGGACTATTGAAGTCCACATCCTGGCTCTGCACACCTCAAAAATCACACCCTGTGCCTGAGAGCATTGTCCAAACACGTCTTGAGCTCTGTCAGGCTTGGTGATATGACCACTGCCCTTGGGAGCCTGTTCCAGTGCCCAACCACCCTGAGTTTTCAGGACTCAATTCAGTTGCCTAAAACTCAGCATTTAGTCACATTTGAGACACTGTGGGCTTTCCAGACATGTACATAGGGTTGGCAGATCTGCATCTTTAGAAGACTGATGGCCTTCTGCACCAGACCAAAACCACCTCAAGACACATTAAATATCATTATACCCTTAGCTATAGGCCATGAAACCACACTCAGTGCTGTATGAATGCCAAGCTAATGAGATAGGATCAGATCCCAAAATGAGAAAACATCAGATTCCTTGGCCCTGAGGGACTCCTGAGCAGAACAGATATTTCATTATTGGGTAATGAACTGGAATTCATGTCTGACCTGGAAGCCTCCTGAGGTGTGTGGAATGAAACTGTTCAACTTCATGTGGACAACTGAATCAGCCTAAATCTATGTGAGCTGAGTGCCACTGTGTTTCACATGCACACATCAGTTCTCTGTGAATGCTGTTGAGAGAACACAAAGAACCTGTCTTCACACCACAGCAGATGACGCAAACTCTTACTAACATTTCTGCTGTAAGGTTTGTCGTTAGGGAGGGTTTCTGTCTCTGTCCTGGGTACAGATGTCAAACACCCTTAAGAGGAAAAACGCAACCCACATCCTCTTCATTTATGTATTTATATAGATAGATTCGTAGAGGTATGTTAAACAGTGAATAAGGAGAAACATCAGACAGAAATCATGGGTGCATTCCTCACTTGGTACACCTTTGCTGTTGTCATTCTGGTAATTCATGGAGGTAAGTACACAATTTAATACTTTTGAAGGTAAGAGCTGATGTGCAGAATTCTAGCTAAGCCAACATGTATTAATGTAAAGGAAGTAGTCACAATTATTATTTGAATTCTTATAAGTAGTTCCTCGCCATTGTTTGATCTTTCACACAAACAAAATAATTTCTGAATGTGTAGTCTTAATTAAAGCTCCATGAAGTCCAAGCTGTTTGAAGGAGTTCTGAGTATAGTACATAATGATTATCTGCTCTTTCTCTCCAGAGCCATACATACACATTAACTGCTTGATCTTCTCTTCTGAAAAACAGATCCACATAATGTGACCTACACCATATAGTCCAGTTTCCATGCACAATATTTAAGATATGGCTGATCTGAGGTTGTTACTCACAGTGAAAGCCAAGAACTTAACCATATCAGTAATCTTCAGGAAAATAAATCTGTGTGAAAACAACAAAACTTTGGTGGGATTTTTGCCCAAGCTCACCCCACTGATCTCATTTCAGTATTATTGAAATGTAATGAAGTTATTCTGCTGAGCAGTTTTTAAATTCTACTCTGAAGACCATCATTGTGACATATGTGCACACTTGTGTGTCTGTATGCTTTCTAATTACAACAGACATGTTTTCTAGGAGACTTAGAGTGCCCTACAGTATTTGTTAACCCACCTGTCTGTCTTGTGGCTTACTTTTTTAGGTTTGTGTGCAGATATCATTGGAGGAAAAGAAGTAAAACCACACTCTAGACCATTTATGGCCCAAATCAAGGGACCAAGAGGAGTTTCTTGTGGAGGAGCTTTAATCAAGGAAAACTGGGTGTTAACAGCTGCACATTGTAAAGTGTAAGTTCTTAACTCTGATTCAGAGATAGTCCTTAGTGAATATTTGGTATCTCTTTTCAAGCAGAAGAGTTAGTATCTCTTTGTCTATGTATCATGACCATGATCATGTTCTGATTGCTGTGCTTTATAGGTTCTATCAGAAAATTTGTTATAGTGAATAAAAAAAATATAACAAGTTATATTGATCTCCACTGTTTCAGAAAAGATATTTCAAAACTTCTAGCTTCATGCAAGCATTGAATAGTGACTCTGAAACAGTGAATTTGGGGGAACGTTTTATCCCTGTTTCTCAGTCAAGCTGGAGACTAGATGAGAGGAGTGCCCAGTCTAAACTGATGCTCTAAGAACAAAAATAAATTCCTGTCATTTTATTCTGCAAGAGATACACGGTTCACCACAGAAGGAGACAGCATGTGGTTAACACAGGAACAAAAATCCTCCAAACAGGTGACAGGAGACACTGAGAGATCTCTGCCTTACTTCATATGTTGGCTTGTCAGCTATTCTTTCTTCTGCTGCCCAAATCAAGATGCAAATGGATATTTGGCTCTACTGAGCCCTTCACCAAGGCAAGGAGTTTTGAATTCCATATCCCACCCCTACTTGCTTTTGTTGGGAGGAGTGAAGCTGCTGCTGAGCCAGACCTCACTCAGGCTCTGTCAACAGCCTGACCAAGTCCAGTGAGCCACTGGACTCTGCAAACATCAGAGAAATGTATCCATCTGTCCTGTCCTTGTCCAGACAGGGAGATATGTGGGACCTACTACAAAGAGTGTCAGAGTTGTGCCTGCTGCAGCTCTCTGCCAGACACACCAGCAGACAGCTCTCAATAGATGAAGGAAAGGAGCGACCATTTTCCCAGGGTTGTGTTTTCCACAATAAGACATGAATACAACATACAAACATACACATCTGCTTCAAGAATATTCTCCCATTCAACTGTAGGATGCATTGTTTGCCCAAAACCAGCTGTACCTGTGGTCATTTAGTGATGTCTGCTTGGCCTGTTTGGGCAAGGAGTGCTAGACTGCTGGTGTGTCTGTCAGAGAGCTGCAGCAGGCACAACTCTGACACCACTGCAGGATCTTGTAGGTACAGGAAATTGCAGAAAAACCTAGAGAAGAGGAATGAGCCGTGTCTCACATGGATTCAGAAAATGGTGTTGAAATCTGTTAGAGCAAAGCAATGGTACATTCGATACAGTCAGGATATCTCTGAACTAACAACGTTGTTACCTATTTTCCTAAATTTTCAGCATAAATTACAGCACAGTTGGTGAGACAAGTAAATCTGATGCATCCACCACTCATTCAGTTCCCAAAAGGAAACAATGGGGATAGACGCAGAGTCAGGTACCTGAAAACTTTCTGTGCTCCTGGGAAAAATCAAAATAAGATAGCATGAATTTTGATTCACTCAGTCACTTTTTTTCTCTCAGCTGTTGTATGAACAGGGTCATCTTTTAGGTATTTCTAAATTACTGCTGCTTTTCAGGCACAAGAAAAGAGACTGTAGCAGCACCCCACTAACCAGCAAAAAATTACAGTTACATCAAAGTGAATCCTGTTAACTATGTGGTCCTCTCCTCAGGGAAAAAAGCAAAGTTATTCTTGGAGCCCATTCATTGAAAAAAAGCGAAAGAGTACAGCAGACTTTTCAAATTGCAAAATGCATTCGTTATCCATGCTACAACCCCAGAACCAAGGAAAATGACATTATGCTGCTGCAGGTACATACATATTATATACATTATATATCATTTGTGCAATATACATCTCCTACATTGAACTATTGTCTTCCTAAAATAAATGTGGAGGAGATGAGCCAAGGGAGTTTCTGGTGGGTTTTTTTCTGGGGTGATATAGTCTGGGCTGCTAACCTAGCAGCCTGGGGAATTGGGGATGCACTGGTAACTAAGGCAATCAACAATTCCTGTGATGTTTGCCACGGCTAGTAGACAAATTCTGGACCTTGATCAAGATATTTCTGTTTTCGGCTTTTCCATAAAAGAATAAAGATTCATGCAGACAAAACATTTGGTTAAAAGCACTAATGTTCCATCTGAAAAAGACTTCTAATTAAAAATGTCTGGCTATTTTCATCCTCAATTTTGCCAGCCTCAGTAATTACTGTTATTTTGTCTTCTAAATGGTCTGAGAGACAGAGAAGCAAAATAAGATGTTTTTTAAAGGTAATAGATCAGCAGAAGGTAAGTGGGCTTTCATGAGACAAATAATACTAATTTTCCTCATTCTCACATTAATGACATAAAAAACTCCCACAAAGAATTGAGGAATCTCAAAAAGGGATTGCATTAGTTACTATAATGGGAGAGATCCAATGGTTAATATGCAAGGGACTCTGTTAGACTCTGGTCCATAATACCAATTTTCCATATCTTCTACAGCTTCAGGGAAGAGCAAAATTCAATAAAGCTGTGCAACCAATCCCCCTACCTACCTCAGATGATGATCCCAAACCAGGAACAGTGTGCTCAGTAGCAGGATGGGGTACAACTACCAGTTATCCATACACGCTGCCTACTGCCCTGATGGAAGTCAATATCACTGTCATCAGGAGGGAAATCTGCAACAATAAAAATCATTATAATGGCAAACCTGTCATAACAGAGAACATGATATGTGCAGGGGCTACGAATGGAAAAAAGGACGCATGTAATGTAAGTACATTTACTGTGACTGCATAAATTGTATAATAAAAATATAATACAATGTACCAGCATTATACATTTACAATCTCTGTCTCTACTGGAGATGGGTAAATTCACCTTTGCAGCCTTTTGATGCTGCAGCTGTATCCTCAGATATGGCAGACAGCTATCCTCATCTTCAATAAGTTTAATACTAAAATGTCCATGAAATACCTTATGGGCCCATTCTCAAGTAGCTAACCTCAGTGGAACAACTTCTTTGATGTCAGAAAACTTTGGAATAAGTTTTGGAGATAAAAAGCATTTTGACAGAGTCCCAAGTTCAACTGTGTAAGAACTACCACATTTTAGAAGATTAAAATATTGCATTTAAAAAGTTATCCAAGAAAAGGTATCAGTCTCTGGAGACTTACACTTCCCATGAGGAAAGTTTTCAGCTTTTTTTCTCCATTTTCAAAAAGACTAATTCTTCCTTAACACTGAGCTAGATTAATTCCACATTACACATACTTGAAAGATTAGATTGAAATCGATGAAATCTTTTCATTTGTTTTCCTGTTGTAAATATTAATTTTCAAGGAGGAAAAAATAATCCCTAATAACAGTGGCCGCATTTTTATTTTCTCCGTCTAACTAGTGAAAATTTATGTAAAAGAAGCACTTTTTAATTTTTGTTAATTTGAATGTCAATATTTTCCCTTATTCTAGGGGGACTCTGGTGGACCTTTGAGATGTAACAATGTGATGAGAGGCATCACTTCGTTTGGGAAGCCGAAGAGCTGTGGCAAGGCTGATGGCCCAGGTGTCTACACTCGACTCACAAAGCAATACCTTGAGTGGATAAGGAAAACCATAGGGGGGGCCTAATGGATTGGGTTTGGGCCATGTGATTTGTGTAAATGAAATGGGCTTTTGGAAACAGCTTCATCAGTGTGGTAAAAGAGGTATTCTCACACTGAGTTTTGGCAGCTTGATGTAGTTATGCTAGGACAGCATTTGTAGCTTGTGTTGTTAGCCATGGAGTCACTGGGGATATTTGGGACTGAGAATTCCAACATCCCTGTAGTTCACACTGAGCTCTACATGCATTGGTATTTCAGATCAAGAACCCAATCCTTTTTTGGGCCCTCACTGCATGTTGAGTATATACAGCACTCTTCTGTACCTGGACTTCTGCAAAAACCCTGGAAGTTAGTGGAATGCTAGGTACAAGCACAGACACCTAAAAAACTTAGTTTCTCTGCAACAAAGCTCATTGTTTTATTGGTGTAGTGGACTGCTAAGCTTCAGAATATTACGCTTCAGCTACTGTGGAACATAAGTATTAATTTTCTAACTGTCATGTATTTGAAACCTCTAGATTTTATTCTTTTATGTACTTCGCAATTAATAAAGAAATGGCAGAAATTAATAAAGGCTGCTTTCAGCTGTCTATTTATGTGGAAAGCTCTGTCTCTGGTAGTAGAGATAGTCTATGTACTATCTGTAGGACCTGTTTACTACCTGTGTAATGTTCCGTACATGTTATGTTTGCAAAACATACCAAAATAAGCAGCACTGTGTTTAAAAAATCATCTGAAAACCCACGCTTCAGAGAAATTACAGGAACTGTTACAGTTCAATATGATAAAGCACTCTTGATAATAAAAAGCGCTCGTAATTTTATGATGCCAGTTCTGCTGTTTCAGACATGCAGTGAAATTTCTGAGTGCTTCAACAAGCATTTGTCAAACAGCAAATAGACCTGTTGTGAAAATGTTTCTGCCTGCCTCTATATTAAGATACTTGGGCATTTTCAATGCCGTGAGCACCTCAAAAAGGGCTTGGACTTACTTTGTTTTGCTTCAAGAGGCTTTTATTTGGAGACGGGCATTAGCTAAGAGAAAGAAGAGAACATTCAAGGGTGGAGAAATTTTGAAATTGTTTTAATTTAAATATTGTTGCTCTGTCCATCCTGAGCAATGAAACACCATTTACAATGAGAAAGCACAAACTAAAACTTTTCTACACAACTATCTTTACCTGATCTCCTTTAGAAGAGACAGTAGTTTTCTCACAGAGAAGTAAGGAAGGGTAAAAATGAAGGCCTGAACTACAGGGATCTTTACTGGAATTTTTGATTATGAAAAACATCTTTTTTTCCTTTTGCTACAAAACATTACACAGTCAGGACTTTCCATATTCCTATTTTTATTCCTAAATGTTTTTTCTCATTCTTGGGCTGAACATAGAAAATGTGCGCACAAAGGGACACACAAACACATAAGCAAAGGAGCAGAGAAAAGGATTCTCAGATAAATAAGATTCCATCAGTGAAACTGAGAGGAGAATTTCACTCACTGACTGCTACCAACACCCAAAGCAGTGACTTGATTCTATCTTTAAACACAAAGAAAATAAGTAAATTCAGACTTTTTATTCTTGCAAACTACCACACACCTGCTTAGACAAAAACTAATTCTAAAAACCTTCAGGATACAAAAATATCCTCATCAACCTGTAGCACATCTAGGGCTTTTCACTGTTCCCATACATTAGTCTTCATTCCTTTGCTCATATTTTCATTGCCTTTCTTTCATCTTGCTGTTGCATTATTTCATCATTCTTCTTTCCCTTCGGCCTGAGTTTTCTTCTTCCCCAAAAGTCACAAACAGCACCCTTGTCAGTGGAAAATGACCCTGAAATCCTGTAATTCAAACGCCCCTGAAATCCTGTAATTCAGTACTTCTCCATTTTCCAGGTGGGTGTTCTGAACCAAGGGTTGAGAGCCTTAAAGATCAGGAAGGAGAGGTTCTAACAAAAGAGAAATTTGTAATGCATGAAGAAAAGTGCAACAGAAAAATGTGCAGCCTTCCTCTTCTACCTTGAAATTTAGGACCTGCCCCAAAATACTTTAGAAAGATATATTTTTACATGGATGTTTTAAGTTAATTGTGCAAAATAAGCCTGTGGAATTGGACTTACATGGTAAAAACAAAATTCCAGTCTCTGTCACTACTGCCAATAGCGTAAACCTGTAGAAAAAAGAAGCAGCAAGAGCAAGAGAGAACAGAATTTTCCTCTAGATGGGGAGGTCTCTGTTCAAGAGGCATGATATGAACCCATTCACTACAGAGTTTCCTCACTATGGAATGGAGCCCACACTAGCTAAGAAAAATGCTATGATAATTTGATGTCATTGTTTTCTTCTCAGTCTGGCCATATGAGATAATTGGAGGGAAGTAACAGATATAAACTGCATTACAAAAACTCACGTAACACATATGTAGGCAGCACCAATTCAGATCATACAGGGGCAGAACAGGGCACTGTCTGCTGGACTTAGTGCTTTTAAGTGTGGGAACAAATGGATTCCATGGTAGTTGAATTCCTGACAATTGTTTTGTCATATTGATATATCTGAGAGGAAAGACACACACACTGTATGAGCAATGAAGTTTTTCTTCAGGTAGAAGTTATTTTTGACCTGAAATTTTGGATTCTATATATTGTACAGTGCTGCTCCACCTTGGTCAAGGCTGTAGGGATGAAGATCTGATTTTGATCAACTTGAATTTCTTAAACCTCTGTGCCATGCCTGGAGACTCAGCCTTCAGTACATACAGACAACAAGTTGACTTATTAGAAATGTGTTCTGGTTTCTGTCTCATCCTGGGCCTGAACAACATAGCAGGCATGTAACTGGCAATGAGCTAAAAGAATGACATATTCTACAGGG